CTACGCGCCGAGGGCCGGACTGGTTCAATGTTTCTCAACATCCAGAGGCAGTGCCGGTGACACCTGTTGGCTCGATAAAATATGCTCTAAAGCCAATCCTCATACTGTACATATTAGATGTGATAGACATCTGAGAACATGAAAATAGTAAAAAAAAAAATAGCTCAAACTTGGTGAAATTTAAAAGAGCAGTCTGGACCTCTTTTCGGGGCGTTTTTTGATTAAATCTGCAGAATGGATTATACTTTGGGAAATACAAGTGGATTTTCTTCTTCAATGAACAGTTACGGAGAGAAAGCGACTAAGCAAGGATGGGGAACGTCTAATTTGTTGGAACAGCAGAAGACGAAAGGTAAAAAACAAATACAGACGTGATTTATTTTGTGCCCATATTATGCGTTATATCTTTTTGATGCAAAGTCTGATATCGTTTACACTTACATATAAATATAGCTGAGAAAATAAGCTTTAAAATGATATATAGCTTGTGGCTTATGAAGTTCAAAATACATCTGCTATTGCCAGCAGATGTATTTTTTTCCTCGTTTGCTCCCGCCGGCGGGGGCTAGCGAGCTTAAGGGGTCAATACATTGCCTCAATGGCAGGCAATGTCCCGGGGGCCATAGATAATTCATTCAAATCCGGCCAAATCCGGCCCGCGGGCCTTGACTTTGACACATGTGCCCTAAACTGATCCAGCGAGCGTAATGCAATTGATAAAGGTTCAATAGCTAAAGCAAACAACAAAGGAGACAACGGGCATCCCTGTCTCGTTCCCAGAGAAAGCGTGAAATAAGCAGAAGTAACATCATTTGTGTGAAGACTTGACTGGGGTGAATTATATAATAACTGAATCCATGAAACGAAACGTCCTCCAAAACCAAATTTCTTCAGCACAGCAAACAGGTAGCTCCACTCAACACGGTCAAACGCTTTTTCTGCGTCAAGCGAGATTACAACCTCTGGAACACTGGCGGATTGTTGGGATGTGATAACATTCAGAAGAGTGCGAACATTATAAAACAAATGCCGGCCTTTAATGAAACCCGTTTGTTCCTCTGAGATAATTGAAGGAAGGATTTTTTCAAGGCGGCACGCCAGCACTTTGGCCAATATTTTTACATCCACATTAAGGAGTGAAATAGGTCTATATGATGAACAAGAAGTAGGGTCTTTATCTTTCTTTAAAAGAACAGTAATAACTGCTTGGGAAAGTGTAGGAGGCAAGGTACCTCGTTCAAGGGATTCGTTGTAGACTGAAAGGAGCAATGGCGACATTTTTTCCATCAAACTTTTAAAGAATTCTACTGAGAAGCCGTCCGGGCCAGGTGCCCGACCATTATGCATACTTTTAATGGCAGATGAGATTTCTTCCAGTTGAATGGGCATATCCAGCTGTTCAGCCAAGGTTGGGTCCACTTGAGGAGCAGCCAGGCCCTCTAGAAAAGCACATAGTTCAGTAGGACTTACTGTGGATTCAGATTGATATAGAGAAGAGTAATATTCCTTGAAAATATCATTAATCGCTTTTGAGTCAGAGGCCAAATCGTTAGTTGTATCTCTAATTTGATTTATCAGTCAAGAAGCAGCCTGACGTTTCAACTGGTGAGCAAGTAGCCGACTGTTTTTTTCCCCATGTTCAAAGAAAGTAGCATGTGAGCGAAGTATAAGTCGTTCTCCCTCAGATGTAGAGAGTAGATCAAACTCAGTTTGTAAATCAATTCGCATTTTATGTAAACTAGGAGTAGGGTGAGCAACTATCTATGTCACTAATCTTTGTTAATAACTCATTTATTCTATTTCTGGGCTCTCTATTGGAATGAATAGAAAAATAAATTATTTGTCCACGTAAATATGCTTTCAAAGATTCCCATAGAAGAGAATAAGAGATTGAGTCATTTTTGTTAGGGCAATATATTCATCAATTTGGGATCTTATAAACACAGAACATTTTTCGTCTAACAATAATGAAGAATTAAACCTCCAGGGTGAGGAAAAAAGCGGTTGGTTTGGCAATTTTATATTCATACTGAGTGGGGCATGATCAGAAATTACTATTGGGTGGTATTCAGGTAAAGTTGTCCGAGAAAGGAGAAAACTGTCTATAAAAAAATAATCAATGCGTGAAAAGGACTGGTGTACTTTAGAAAAGAAAGAGTATGCTTTTGTGTTTGGGTAGTGGGACCTCCACGGATCCACCAAAGCATTCTGTGAGATAAAATCTGAAATAGTTTTAGACATGGAGGATTGGGTGATATTTTTGGGATTTGAGCAGTCCAAAATAGGGTTGATAACACAATTGAAATCACCAGCTAATATTAGCCGGTGGGTGTTCATGGCAGGGATGGCACTAAATAGTTTGTGCATAAATCTAGGGTCATCGAAATTAGGAGCGTAAACATTAACCAATACAATAGGATTGTTGCAAACAGCACCGACAATCATTAGATATCGCCCATTTTTGTCAGCTATTAAATTAGACAGAGTAAATTGTATTCTTTTGTTTATTAAAATAGCTACTCCTCTGGCTTTGGTATCAAAAGAAGAATGGAAGACATGTCCCACCCATGGACTTTTGAGCCTAACATGATCCTTATTTCGTAAGTGAGTTTCCTGTAGGAATATAACATCACCTTTGAGACGTTTCAGATGTGTCATGATTTTAGAACGTTTAATGGGGCTGTTCAATCCTTTAACGTTCCAGGTCAGAAATGTAATACCATCAATATTGTTTAAAACTGTACCTGGAGAACCAGGTCATTTCATCATTAAATGTATATTTGACATTATACCCCCACATAGAAGAAATAAAAAAAACATAACAACAAAAAGATAAAATGATAAAGAAAAAAGAAAGATAATTAAGTACAAAAACAAAATCTTTGATAGAATGCAGCTTATGAAAACAGCAGAACAGAACCCAACCCTCCCCCCTCCCCCCCGCACATCAGTTGTCCCCATCCCCAAACGACAGAGACAGCAGTGCAAGTTCCTTACGGAACAATGGAAAAAGAAAAACCCTCTAGACTAAACTAGACCCACTCGATTATAACAGCAAGCCATAACTCCCGCAAAATAAAATGTAAAACGTAAAGGCACAAACACAAAAACCAGTAGTGATTCAAAACGGCATGCTTCAACGACTACAAAGGAATGTTTAACCCCTGTGCTTTCAAATTCGAACTACGAAACAGAACTTACCCTGCAAGGAAACTTCTAACTGAAATAAGCCATTAGAATCAAAATGTATCTATCGAGTTAAAGTCTTCACAAACTTTGTTGCTTCTTCAGGAGAAATAAAGTCGCGTTGTTTACCGTCGTGTGTGATGCATAGCTTGGCTGGGTGAAGAATTCCAAAACAAATTCCCTCAATGTCTCTGAGTTGGCGACGCACATCATTGAAGGCTGCACGCGCGCGGGCCGTCTTTGCTGTGTAGTCCGGGAAAACGGAGATGGTAATGTTTCTGGTCTCAAAGTTCACTTTTTTAGCACAAGCAGCTCGTTTTTGACAGATACCAGGTGTATTCCGAATGCCTCTTGTAATTCTGCTTTAAACAACATTTTCATCTCCTCACAAAAAGCATCCAGATGCTCGATTTCAAATTAGTAGCGTCACCTGTGACTAACTCTTCGGCAACTTCAGACGGCCCCGAGGATTCACTGTGGCTTGGGGATGTAGAATCCGCAGGCCCCCTTTGGTGCGTCTTCGTTTTCCTTCCTTTGTGTGACATTTTTGTCAACAAAAATCAAAAGGCATATACCTTAACAAAGTATAGATATGAAGTCCAAATGCCGGGGATGAATAAATTGTGCCAAAACTATTGGATAATATCAATTAGCGCAGGAGCGTAAGGAGACACGTGTTACTCCATCGTCTGCCTAGCCCAGAGTTCACATATACATTCTTAACACACATGCACGGACGATTTCAGAATTTGCTGTTAACGTTTTCATGACAAAAATACTGTTTTAATGTGACAAAAAGCTATTGCGAAAAACCCGGAAGTTACCATGAAACAGCTAGCTAGCTTAGCTGTTACCTGCCTAGCACGTCCCGGTGAAACCTTTGGGAGCTAACTATTTTATTTGCAGTCATTAAATACATTTGGAATTATAAGGGCTGTCTAATATTTGTTCAAATATGTATATATTTTTTATTTTAGAATTATATTCGAATTTTGAAGTAGAAGCCCTGGTGTTAAGCAGCGCTGTAGAGGCTAGAGGACGCAGGCTGTTCGCTTCTTGTTCTGTGAGCGAGCGTCCCGCTAAGCACTTTTCACTGCTTGTAATTCTTACACAGCTGAATCAATTACCTCAAGTTTTCAATTAAATGATGTATTATGATACAACTTGTATGTAGTAAAAAACATTTTTATGTACTACTTAGAAATAAAATTGGGTATAGCTTCTTGAACAGTTGGGATATTGTTTGTAAAAGAAATATGTTTGAACTTTATAACAGCGATCAACGGATAAAACAGAAACATAAGCACTGTGCAGCATTCTCCCCCTGTGAGCTGAGGCTTTTTTGTTACCAACCTACATTGGAATAATACAATAGCACAAATCACTTGGTAGATAGTGACCAAGTATTTATTCTTTATTCTCTCCTTGACGATGGGAAATAATGGGCCCTCTCATCACTGGGAGGGCCATAAGTGCCTTAAGCCTTAACGTCTTTACATTTCCACAATTATGTTCCCATTCATTCTCAGAGTTGTCACATTCAAGTTTAATCTCCCAAAGCTCCTTTATATCAGATTTATTTTTTGAAGAGATTGTCTTCCTGTGTCTGAATTGTCCCGAAACTCAATTCTGGACCCTTCTGCAGTGGCAAGGAAAAACTCTATGACCCAGGGGAAGAACAGTGAGAAACATCGGGGCGGCCCACATTGATGGAGGGATCCGCTCCCACAGACGGATGGGCTATTGATCTGTAGAACAAGAACCGAGGCCCCCAACCCTGATGTGTTTTGTGTATGGTTCCCCTCTGTTTCCAGGGGCCAGTCTACTGCTGAACTGCACTGTGTTGTGTGGCATCAACATCAGTCCTCATAACTGTGTGGCGCTGTGGAAGGCCAAACACGCCGACCTGCACTCAGAGGACTACACCATGACCAAGCAGTAAGTCCTCCTGCACATGTTTAACCCCCACATAACCACCTCAACAAGCCTTGGAGTCCTTAAAGCTGTAGTACCTAACATATTTGCTTCAGAAACAATACATCAATGTATGTCCCAACAAAAAAAGAGTCTAAAGTAAAATGTTACAAACAAATCAGACCCAACATGGTTCCTCTTACAAAATTCAGTTATTTGTTTCCTATATATCATTTAATCAAATCAAATTATTTTTGCATCACCCTAAATCCCAGCAGCAGTCGCCTCGAAGGACTGTACTAAGTTGTTGATTCACAGACATCAGAATTTGACAATTTTAACACACGACATACAATAATAACACTTTTTTTTTTGCTGAGGTGTCGTAGCTATGACGACACCACCTTATTTATTTAAGTTTTTTTAAAATAATGTATTGTGTACTGTATTGCATTGTTTTGTTTTTTTTGTGTTGTGTTTTGTGTAGGGGCTTTCCTGGCCTTTTATGGACAGGTGTTTCAAATTAGCAGTCTTGCTTATGTCCATACCAAATAAATAAATAAATAAAAACATAAAAATAAAAAAAACACATAGGAACACATAGGATTCAAGGACCCAGATTCAAGGGTCCTAATATCACGCTATGAAACAGACATCGGGATAATGGGTGGATAGCAATGAACAGACTACAACTGAAACCATAATGATGTAATGTATAAAGTAGGAAGAGGAGTGCTCAAGTTACCATACTTCTCCAGCAAAATGTCTCCATACATGACTTTACTGGCAATTTTTTTTACCTACCTAGACACACGTATGCTGAATTCAGGAGAACTGTTTTGACCCTGGCCTTGAATGTAGACACTGTGTTCGCTTCCTTGACGTTACCAGACAATTGTAAGATAACAAGATACTTCCTTGACATGCTCTTCCCAGGAAAACGTCTGAGGAAAATGGGAGTTGCAGATAAATTACATCAAGGAAAAAACATTGCTATTTTAGAATTGTCTGGGGCGGAAGAAGCAAATATCTTCGCTACGTGGCTCCTTGTTGATGCAGGAGGGACAGCAATGATCAGGGACAATTAGGAACCAGGAATGGGACTCCCTAATGTGGTCCCTATCTGTGTGCATGTTCTACTTGTTCCTGTGTAGGTTTCCTCCGGGTGCTCTGGTTTCCCCTTCTACTAAAAACATGTACAATAGGTCTGGCTTGTGCCTTTTTTGCTGAGGTACCTCCACACATCAGTGTGTAGAGCGAGAGGAGAAATGCCTGCAACAATTGTAAAGCGCTATGTTACTCTGTCTACTCTGCGCTCTGAAAGGTGCTATATAAATAATGATTACATTCTTATCGAACTATGGACATGATGTCATTTTAAAGCTCTGAACCGTCCGAATACAGTTACAAACATTTTAACAAACTGAGTTTTTGACGCCTGGAGAAGTGTGGACTAAACTCACTGAATTAAATTCACCCTGTGACTTAGAGGTTGAGACAACCCTTGTTTAGACTTTCAATGTTTTCAGGAGAATTACTGAACTGATGAGGAATATTTTATTAATAATGTAAGGGTTAAACAACAGAGGAGTAAAAGTGTTTTCCTACATTTACCTCTTGAATTTCTTTAGCTCCTTAATTCAACAACCTTATTAAACAACAGACAACATTTACTTCATAATGAAACTGTAAGCTAAACATTTGTGTTCAATGTTGTGTGTTGCTATGACGACACCTCAGGTGTAGTGATATTTATTTATTTAAAGATAGCCCCATTGAGATGGATCATCTCTTTTTCAAGGGGTCCACAAAAAAATAATTTAATTGATAATGAATTGAATTTATGAGCGTTATTTAACTATTTTTGTCTCCATAGTAACATTAACATCCACTGCTCTTTGAGCACACTAGTGCAAACACAATCTGTTGAAAAGAGTGACATGACCAGCCTCTCTCCTCCAAACCTCTCCTCAGCGTGGACACAAACCCCTCCAAGCAGACCATTGTGACCCAGAGGCTGCACATCCACCAGCTGACTGCAGACCACTTCAGAGACGAATACCAATGTGTGGGGCGGAGCGTGGCTGTGGAACCTGTCTCCTTCATTGTCCGTCTGCAGGCCAGACGTGAGTCTCAGGCCCCGTCCTCTGCATAAGCCACACCCACTACACAGGCCACACCCACTACATAGGACACACCCACTGCACTGGCCATACCCACTGCACCAGCTGTGTACAATTCATGTATAAAATCTTAAAGGTACCTTAAATATTTATCTCCGCCATGTTCTTGAATTGCTTTCATAGGCTTTGAATTTGACGCATAAAGCCTAGAGCAGGGGTGGCCAACCAGTCAGAGACTAAGAGCCAATTTTTTTTACTGTGTTACAGCAAAGAGCCACATCATACAAATGTGCACTACATAAACATCACCCCAACCCTTACACACGCACGCACACGCGCACGTACGCACACGAGCAGACACGCGCACACACATGCAATCTGTCTGAGCAGAGAGAGGTGTGCTCTGCTCAGACAGATTTATTGTAAATGTCATCAACATGATAATGACAGAAATTGACTCGTACAGTACTAAAGGGCTGGACTCGACTCTCCCTGGTTTGCGGGCGCTTCCACCGCTCGCTTCAACCGCTCCCCGGTACTTTTTATTAATGGTTTGGCCCTGGTTCTAACCGGGCGAGTCGATACCAGAACAATTTCACGTCAGCGAACATCAATTATGATTCCGAAATGAATGCTTTCAATCTCTAACCAAGAAAAAAAAATCAAGTTTCAACCCAGTGTTCAGCAGAAACACAACTGTCTTTAGTAAAAGATATAGATTTGACACATAACACCAACACCACTTTAGCTGATTTAGAACCACAGACACATGCTCAGTATAAGACCAGATACTTTTGCATTTGATTGAAGACAGACACTCACCAGGCAGAGTTGGCTTATCTCCTGGTGTAGCTGGTGTTAGCTGGTTTTAGCATGTTAGCCGGTGTTAGCCGGTGTCCGTAAATGTAATCCATTTGGTCAAACCACCTCCAGACTTTTCGGGTCTGCCTCTACTTCTGCTGCTGTGATCTTTCATTTCACGGTTGTCACTTTTAAGCTTTTTAACTTTTCTCTGCATTGTCATGTTTGTGGGAATCATTCTGCTCCGTCCTTAGTGCTAGCTCCACAAACACCTTCTGGTTTCTGGTGGAACCAGCGAGATCAGGCTGGTGTCCTCTCCTCAAACTGAGGAAGGTGTTGCCCTCATCCAGCGACCAAGGAATTGTTTTCCGTACGGACGTCATGGTTCGAGGCAACGTGTTGTTTGTTATGATATTTGCTACAGCTGCAGAGTGATTGACAGCGCATCTGACCAATCAGAATTGACGTTCGCCGACGTCAGATTGTTTTGGCGGCCTGGCTAGTGGAGTGAAGTCGGCCTTTACTATTGGTCAGAACTACATATGGAATGAAAGGCAGCGCCACCACCGAGGCGTTTTTGACGCTTGTCGAGTGAAAGCCCGAGAGCCGCACGGAACCAGCCAAAGAGCCGCATGCGGCTCACGAGCCGCGGGTTGGCCACCCCTGGCCTAGAGTATACTTGCGCGGCGTGGCTTACGTTAGCGGTTGCGGTGGACCTACGTAAGCACAATTGATGTTATACTGGCGCGTTCCCCTTACGGAGTTTTGAGGAGAATGTTGTATTCCCACAACAAACCACATGAGGGCGATCACACAGGAGTGGTCCCATTTACGCTGCTACTTTGTCCTCTTCAGAACAACAATAGCAAACAAAGCTGTTTGAGCTCATTACACATGTTTCTACTGTAGGTTTATGTGATAGTTTTATGGATTCATTATTTTATAAGTCATTTCAACTGTGACGCTGTGAATAAAGACACAGTTTTTGTTGGAAACATAGTTATTATTAAATAGTTTTCAGCACAAACAGCAAAACAATAATAGTGGTAAACATCTGAGACAAACATGAACAATTTACGAGTGCAGGAGGAAAGTAACAAACGCAGCTACGATTTGCCTCAGAACCTAATCAGATTGAAACTGTGTGTGCATGTGTGTGTGGCTGTGTGTGCTCAGTTACTAGCCTCAGAACCTAGTCAGATTGAAACTGTGTGTGTTCCTCGCTTGAAGTCTAAAGCACTATATGCGAGGAAATCTGACCTGGGTGTCAGACACAGTAACTTAATAAAAGTTCAGACAGACAGAAATAGTTCTAACAGTAGGGTTGTTAAATGTGGTTTAATGAACGTCAGATCAATCTCGTCTAAAACGCTTCTCATAAACGAACTTATTATAGACAAGGGCTTGGATTTGTTTGCGCTCTCGGAGACTTGGCTCCAACAAGACGACTACGTCAGATTGAATGAGTGCACTCCTCCGACGCATGTTAACTACCAGAAAGCCAGAACTACAGGTCGCGGCGGTGGCGTTGCGATTATATCACACACCAACTTACTTCTTAGTCCCAAAACCAACAATGCTTTTCACTCGTTTGAAAACTTAACACTTTCAATCACCTGTCCTGGGTGGAGAAAACAAAAAGCGGTGCTATTTATAGTTTAATACCGACCTCTTGGTCCTTACAGCGAGTTCCTAACAGAATTCTCTGACTTCATTTCAAACCTAGTTTTGGAATGGGAAAACATAGTTATAACTGTAGACTTCAATATACATGTGGACGACAGCACTGACAGCTTAAACAAAGCTTTCAGCGCCGTACTAGATGGTGTTGGTTTTACTCAGAATGTTGAGGAACCTACTCACATTCATAACCACACCTTGGACCTTGTCCTGACCTACGGCTGTGATGTCTCCAATGTTGACATCCAGCGTCAAAGCTCGTTGCTGTCTGACCATTTCTTGATCACGTTTGATCTCGATTTGGAGGACTTTCCTGTCCCGCAAGATAAAACCATAATGAAAAGAACCTTAAATGATAAATCTATCACAAGGTTCAAAGAACTAATACAGCCAATGTTGAATACTGCTGCAGGTGAACCTGTTCACAGCTGCTGCAGTCCCTCAGTCATTGACCAAACGGTGGACAACACTATGGAGTCTTTAAAATCTGCATTAAATGCAGCAGCTCCTTTAAAACAGAAAACTATTAGGATTAGATCATCGTCGCCCCTGGTACAGTGTTCAACTCCACACTTTAAAACAGGACGTCAGAAAATTCGAGAGGCTATATCGCCACTCCCACTCGGAGCCTGTCCACAGGGAGTGGAAAGCAGGTCTCCGAAACTATAAGAATGCCCTTCGCAGGGCTCGAACTCAATACTATTCAACTTTAATAGAAGCAAATAAAAATAACAGTAGATTTTTGTTTAGCACCGTCGCTAAACTCACAAACTGCCATAGCGCAATCGAGCCTAAAATTCCAAGCTCACTGAGCAGTGTCGACTTTCTCCACTTATTTAATAATAAAATTACATCCATCCGTGACAAACTGGAGGAGGTTACTCCTGCTATTGGTAGTGGACAAGCTGAAGCGGCATACGTGACTTCCCTCTTAGACTCTTCAGTGGGCCTCGATAAATTCATGGCTGTGAGCCAAGCAGAGGTGATCTCTGTGGTCACATCCTCAAAAGCCTCAACTTGCATGTTAGACGCAGTCCCGACATGGCTCTTCAAAGACATACTTCCTTTGATAATTGAGCCTATCGTAAATATAATAAACGCATCCATACAATGTGGCTATGTCCCACAAGCTTTTAAAACCGCGGTAATCAAACCCCTTCTGAAGAAAACAAACCTGGACCCAGAAATACTTACAAACTACAGACCGATCTCAAACCTCACTTTTATATATAAAATCCTGGAAAAACTTATAGCTGAGCAGCTTCGCTGCCACCTGCAGGAAAATAATATGTTTGAAGTCTTTCAATCAGGATTCAGAGCTCATCATAACACTGAAACAGCACTAGTCAAAGTCACAAATGACTTACTACTAGCTGCTGATAATGGACAAGTGTCAGTGCTGGTCCTACTGGACCTTAGTGCTGCATTTGACACAATAGACCACAGCATTCTACTGCAGAGGCTAGAATGTGATATAGGTCTTAGAGGAACAGCCCTTGGCTGGTTTAAATCCTATTTATCAGATCGGTATCACTTCGTCAACGTAAATCAGAACTCGTCACCTCATTCTGGAGTAGAATTCGGTGTGCCGCAGGGTTCGGTACTCGGACCGATTCATTTTACTCTCTACATGCTGCCGTTAGGAAACATTATTAAAAAGCATGGAATTAATTTCCACTGCTACGCAGATGACACACAGCTTTATCTGTCGATGAAGCCAAATCAGACAGATCAGCTAGAAAAGCTTAGTGCCTGCATAAAGGACCTTAAAATGTGGATGACTCTTAACTTCCTACTTCTCAACCCGGAGAAGACAGAAGTGAACCTACTCGGTCCGAAGCGCCTGCGTGACACCCTCACTAACCAGATAATTACTCTCGATAATGTCAGTATTATACCCAGTAACACTGTGAGGACTCTTGGAGTCATTTTTGACCAAGAACTCTCCTTCAAGGCTTATATAAGCCAAGCAACTAAAACGGCGTACTTCCACTTACGGAACATCGCTAGGTCACCCGTAGTCCCAGGACGCCTCTCCCAAGAGCTCCTGACGTGGACTACCTGACCGACCAAAACACACATATAAGTACCGCACCTGTAGGACGCCTCTCCCAAGAGCTCCTGAACCAGGGCGGAAAGTCAACCGAAGGCCCCCTCAGAGGAGGGACCTAACGGTCTAACTCAGTCCGCTGCACTCAGCACGGAATGGGCCACCGACCGGTCCGACACATCCAAAAGATAAGACCGGACGAAAGAAGAGGACGACGCCCAAGAAGCCGCACGGCAGACGTCCTCGACCGACGTCCTCGACCGACGCCCCCCTGAGAAGGGCCGTAGAGGCCGCCATCCCACGCGTGGAATGCGACCTGAAGCCCAGCCGCTGAGCCGACAGCGGGGCGCCCCTGTTCTTGGGGCCCAGACACACAAACAGCTGACCACCCAACCTGAATGACGACGTCATGGCCAGATAATGCCTCAGCATTCTGACAGGACACAAAAGGTGCCGCCGCTCCTCCTCGGGG